TCTGATCCACAAGGCAGTAGAAGCATCGTAAGGAGATGCAGTCCCATGGTAGCCGGTGACCAATAATTGGTTCATACGCCATTTGTTCCTCCAGGATACTGGAGCTCATGTGCACCATTGGTTTGGAATCAGGGTTTTCCAACTCCCCTAGGTAGACTCTCTATGTCCACCAACCCGATCAAAGCACCGGACATTGGCTTTTCGTCCTCTCAACTTCGTAAACAACACCCCCGCTACGAGAAGGCAATGAGTAGGACTTCCCTGGCAGAGGCTATATACGCGTAGCCGTGTGGGAGCATTTCGAAATGAAGAGCAGACTCTCCCCACTCTCGGCCGTACCAGGGCATTTGGGGGCATATTCTGAAATATAGTTCCATTAGAATCAGCGTCCACTTGTTTGCGTAGTTCTTTCTTAATTGTTGATTAGTTTCCTTTCAGTTTATTGTCACATTAGCCGAGAATTAACTCAACTGTTATCAGATTACCATGGATGTATCCTCTTTGAAGCAACACCTTCAGCAAAAAAGTCTAAATTGCTTGTCTTCTGAACCGACCAAAGAGTACAATAGATGAGAACTCAGCTTTTTTCATTAAAAATAGTAGGTCTATTACAAAGTTTTATACAAATATGCACTTTAAAACATCATGGTAATTAATAAGTCATAATTACGCATCAAATGCATGAAGAAAATGGTCGGAGGGTAAAACGACAAAATTTAAGGTATCAGACAAAAGATCTGTTTACATCAGATTTATGCATTAAAACACACACCGGAAAACGTCTTTGCAATTCAAATCTGTACTTTGACTAGGTATTGTGAGCAATGATGTAAAGGACAGATGAACAACGCCCACACAACCAAAAATAGTAGCATATTTCATATAACTGATGAAAGTTTAAATATATTAACTGGGATTTGTCTCATAAATTTACATAACATTATGAGAAAAGATTTGTTGGACTTCGTATTAAAACACGTGTCTTAAAATATTGTCGCCGTTGAAAGAACAAACACATACACCGGATAGGATAGCAAACAAACTTTGAATTAATCAAAATTAATTATATGAGGCCGGTCTTTTAGAAAGATGACTAAACGAATAATAGAATAGCCAAGAGTGAATAACTACTTAATGATTGCAAAATGAACTTTTTAAATATATCAATTACGATAACATATGGACAAGTCTTATGAAAACAGGAAAACCTAACTCTCAAAAGGCGAAATTCCGAAATCAAACAAAAAACGTGTGGGGGTCGTAGTGAGAGCAAAGATCCTGGGTTCGATCCAAGGTGGAATCTTCAAAATGGATCCCAAAAAGCATTGTAAATTCAACTTCTGTTGCTTTTTCAGTTGTATAAAACACTGCTTACCATCATTTAGGGTAACGACTGTGGAGTACATAAAAGAATCAAGAAATGAAAACAAATATGAAAAGCCGAATTAAAAATTTTCATTTCATTATTTTTCAAGCTGACTTGTAACAAATTGTTACAAACAGTTATGGACTCGACTTTTTGAATCCATAACTCCATGCATACCTTAAAGACCTTCTATAAATATCTATACCCATGCCATATCCAAATGATATCCCAGTTTCGTGTTTTGCCGTCTTATGCTCTAACCAGTTTCAATTTGCGAACGATAGGACAACAGTTACCAAAATTATGAAGAACTTCGTTCCGTATGTTTGTTTTATGGATATCTCCGAGATTTGAATCATTCACAAAACATTGAGTCAGTCAGTCAGCTACGACGTAGGACCAGGCACATATATGCATCGGTCCAAGTTGCCATACCTCATTAACACTACAAGATGAACACCAAATTCATAGTAGTTAATTCAGTGGTAGTAATATATGAAAGAAAGATTGTACAAAAGGATATAGTACAGGAAGAAAGAATTAGTACGTAGAAAGAAAGATATAAATCGATTTTAATCTCATAGTTTAAAGGAAGAAAAAGAGTGTATACACCCACACCATTGTGATCGATGCTGAGCCATGTCACCCAGCGTCTCCAACCATTGATTGTGATAGTCACGCGGACCCCAATCAAGTGGTCTGCATCTACCAACATGGCTCAGACTAGAAGCTAGTGACTTCAAGCATTGATGCCAGGTTTTGGTTTGACATTGAGTATTACATTAAAAACTATCAAAACGAATTTTCAGTAGACCAAATATGGAATTCAACAGAGTGTTGCTGAACCGGATGAAGGATGCAGTAGACGCCCAACTTCGGGATCAACAAGCTGGATTCCGTAAGGATCGGTCGTGCACAGACCAAATTGCAACACTACGGATCATCATCGAACAACCAGTTGAGTGGAACTCATCACTATACATCAACTTCATTGATTATGAAAAGGCATTCGACAGTGTAGATAGGAGGACATTATGGAAACTTCTTCGACACTACGGAGTTCCTGAGAAGATTGTCAATATTATCCGGAACTCATACGACGGACTACAGTGCAAAGTAGTGCATGGAAGACAGCTGACAGATGCATTCCAAGTAAGGACCGGAGTCAGACAAGGCTGTTTACTCTCTCCCTTCCTCTTTCTTCTGGTGGTCGACTGGATTATGAAGACCTCGACATCTGAAGGAAAACACGGAATACAATGGACAGCTCAGAACCAATTAGACGATTTGGACTTCGCAGATGACCTAGCCCTCCTATCACGTACACACGAACAGATGCAGATGAAGACAGCCAATGTGGCAGCAGTCTCTGCATCAGTAGGCCTCAGCATACACAAAGGGAAAACCAAGGTCCTCAAATTCAAAGCGGAAACAGCAATCCAATCACTCTTGATGGCGAAACTCTGGAAGATGTAGAGTCCTTCACATACCTGGGAAGCATCATCGATGAACAAGGAGGCTCAGATGCAGACGTAAAGGCGAGGATTGGCAAAGCAAGGGCCGCATTCCTACAATTGAAGAACATATGGAACTCAAAACAACTTTCAACCAATATCAAAGTGAGAATCTTCAATAAGAACGTCAAGACAGTCAGTTCTACTGTACGAAGCTGAAAAGTGGAGAACTACAACAACCACAATCAAGAAAGTACAAGTATTTATAAATAGCTGCCTACGCAAGATACTCAACATCCATTGGCCGGATACCATCAGCAATAGCCTTCTGTGGGAGAGAACAAACCAACTTCCAGCTGAAGAAGAAATTAGGAAAAGACGATGGAAATGGATAGGACATACATTACGCAAATCGTCAAACTGCATCACGAGGCAAGCCCTAACTTGGAAGCCTGAAGGGAAGCGAAAAAGAGGAAGGCCAAAGAACACATTGCGTCGGATAATAGAAGCAGATATGAAAACGATGAATTACAACTGAAAGAGCTAGAAAGGATTGCCCAGGACAGGGTTGGATGGAGAATGCTGGTGAGCGGCCTATGCTCCTTCACGAGGAGTAACAGGCGTAAGTAAGTAAATATGGAATTAGTCACATATATGTATAGCGAATCGTCAGTGAAAAATAAGGTGTGTCCCTGATCCTTAAAGTGTTGTTATTTAGTACATTTCATGTGAATATAGATATTTAACTTACCTATAAACTAACAGAAAGTGTCGATCATCTTTAGAATAAGTATTATTAATCATCTTACTACTTACTTGATACAGGAGGATATGATTAACTGAAAGTAGATCTCTATGAGCTCTTGTTTTATGAATCATGCGAGGTTCAATTCAATAATAATTAAATCTTTTATACCCAGTTTGATTTCAGTGAGATGAATAATGTCAAATGATTTTATAAATTCGTGCTTTCCATATGAAGGCATTTCACTAAGTATATTGATCTTTCGAAAAAACCAAATGAAATGATTATATGAGATATCATTCTGTATATAGTAAATGTAAAATTACATGCATTGAATTGTTTCGTATATCATTTTACTGTGACAAAATCAATGGATAAAAAATTCACTGAATATATCACGACCAAACGGTTAAAATGTGTCATTTCTTCCACATACCTTATGAAATATTGTTGACCCCGTCTTGGTTTTTCAGACAAATCAAAGTCTATCTATTTGAGTACAGTTTTATATTTTACATAACACTTCATATCTTATGATAAAATGTAACACAGTAGTGTCATTTACAACCACCGTTAATGAAGTGCATTCTGAGTGTTAATAACACTTACTAACTTGTATATATCATTGTAAGGTATGCGACCCAGTAAAGTATACTCAAAGTGTAACTACTGAGCTACCGTTTCACATTATATGTATATGTCTACTCATTTTATTGGTTTTCTTTGAGACAGGTTTTCACATTTTACTTTCGTGTGATCAAGTAATCGTTGAAATAAATTTGAGCACTAGTTATACGATCTACCTGGTCGATTTTAGATTTTCTTTGATATTGTTAGAATCTCCTTGGCCGCAGTAACGATTAGAACAAAAAAATTCTAAGTTTACCTAGCATTAAACTATAGTTGCCATAAAACCGTCCAACTCATTACTTAATATGACGGTAAGTGGCGACGCATCGGGCTGAATAGTTTTCATAGTACATTACCTAACGATTATTGTTTACTGATAGGGTAGATATCTAGGTATGCTTGCGCGGATCACAAAAACCATCTTTTCGAAACCTGTGCGCGTTTTCGGGATTGTTAACCGATAAATATAGTATAACTTGTATTACACTAATCAAATCTGAGCAGTTCAGAATAATGCGGAGTTAGAGCTGAAACTACTAGACCTAATCGGCTTGACTGTTGAGCTTATAGGATGTGGAAAACTATCTTTTATCAAACCGATTTCCTACGCACACAAAATTCAACTGAAAGATAAGAAAAGTCATAAAAATATAAACAATATATTATTTAAAGTGGGAAGTATTTACAGAACATAGTGAAGGATTCTCACAGTCAATACTATATACATTACTGGAGTATACAAAAACAAATAGAAGAGATTTCTAAAAAAAAAACACGAAAAGATAAGCCTGTTGGTTTAAATAGATTAGGTAAGGTATATACGATGATAATCGTTGGCACCAAATGTTGCATTGCACTTTGGACATTTACGATTTCGTGTTTCATACCGAACTTTTAGACAATTCAAACAGAACACATGGAAACATTTAGTTAGAATAGCATCCTTTCTGTTGATTTTACACGTTGGACATGTAAGTTGCTCCTAAAATTTACAAAAAGGGTGGGTTACAATACAAGGATGAAAGTAAAGCTAAACTAAATCAAAGATGGAAAGTATTATCATTACAAATGCTGTGAAACATTAACTAACATGAAGATCTGACAAGTCACAAGGTACATAAGTTCGCCTAACATCTGGAATATGTACAATATCAAACCAAGTGGTGAATTTCGCATTTAAAAAAACAATATTTACAGCTCATGCTTTTAAATTTTATTAAAAATTGCATTTAGATTATGAATAGAAATGACCAATCAAAAGATAAATGGTTAATATAAACAACATACTTTATAATCTTGAATTTCAGCCAATAAAAATTCATCAGCATTATGAGACTGTTCGATCTTGCGTAACCGTTCGTATTTTCTGCGCACAGTGACAAGTTCTTCCTGAAAAAAACAATACACGCATTGTTTTCATTAATCAACCATGTGTATAATAGGACCAATGTCAGTATTATGAATAGTGGTAATTCATACTGTACAATCATCTCCACTTAAAGTATCAAAAAGATAGATATTACAAGTTCATCTTGAATAAAAAAAATAAAAACGGAACCAATATCTTTGTTATTGAGGAGGGATTTTTAATTTCGTTTGATAAATAAACATTTTGGGGATTACGTGAATAAAGCAGTTTCGTGAGCGACCATCACTAGATCATGTTGTGTCTGTGTATTTCATTTATTGAGCGATATTCAACTCATTTCAAAAATTACAAGCCTAGTTCATTCATAAGTCTTAATTCATAAAAGACCGAAGCCAAATTATAGACCTGAGCTTCTAATAAACTAAAGCAACAAGTAACAAGATTTTTAAGTAAATTAGGGATTTTAGTCTGATAAGTAAAAAAATAAATAACATAGCCTGTAGCTTATCTAAGGTTAGGGTCGGTCCCAGACCCGGATAAAAGAGAAGAGTTGGGCATGGGATCACCAAGCTCATCCCGTAGAAAAACAAGCTTGTTAAAGAAAGTCTAAGCAGGAAAAAAACAATCCAAAACATTTAAACTCTTTCATGGGAGTTGAAGGATCTTCATTCAAAAGAATTATAACGCCTTATGGTGAAAACCGAAGTCTTCTGACAATCAAAGCAACAATTAATATGAATAAACAACAGTAGAATATGAGTAGAGGAAGCTGATGCACAAGCAGAATGCACAGAAAACAACGAGTTCATGAGCCTGTGCCACTGCAAACGACTTCGAGCCATATCATCCAAAGTCTTTAACTACTGGTTACATTAATTACGAGGACCCCGATCAGGTAGTTGCTGGTAGACGGATCTTGCCTATGCCACAAGTGTTGCAAGCTGATAAAAGCTGAGTTTTCTGAATCCGCGCCGAGATTTTATCAGAATGATGAGTGAAGCGATCTACATGCTCAGTATTATATTAACATAAGCTGACCGCCCCAACCCTACGGAAAACCTTACTCAAACGCATTCAATCAAAAAGATGAGTATTAGGAAACAGTAAAATACATAATATAGTAGTTTGGCTATATTTGTTGATCAAAGTAGTTAATTTATTGATTTTGCGAATTGTGTACTCGCATTAAATTACTGATTAATTCATGTTAACTATTGACAGTATAATACAAACACGTTTATCTATTGACTGGACATTTTTTATTGCAAATTATGATCAGTAGTGGATTAGTGTTTGGCGTATAAATAAATCTTGGACTCTTCATTCCATTTATTAATATCGGCCTTTTTCCGTTGAACAAGCAATCAGCCATTACAAATAACCATACCACCAACAGAATCAGAACTCTGACAAGTCATTACATACATATAGTACACAAACAGATTTTGCTCTGTAGTTTAGTACGAAACAACAAAAATCTAATCATATATACAACAACAGAAATCTGAGATAATAATATTGTGCACGTGATCGGATTCTGAACTATGGAAAAGTACAAAAATGATTATCATACTAATTACACCAGTTATAAAGATTAAAATGATTTTCAATACATAAAAACTAACTTGTAAACGCTGATGACCGAAAGAAACGCGTTCAAAAGCGGACGCTTTCTCCTGAACAGTAGTTTGAGCATCTTTTAGTTGACTTTGATACTTTTGAACAGTGACTTTTAAGTCTTCAGAGACTTGTTGACTTTCCAGAGCTTTTCGTTTATAGGCTTCCTGTGACTTTTGTCTAGCTGATGCCTCTTTCTCTAAGGTTGCTAAATTGGTTAACAATAAACGTTCCTGTAAAGAAAGCAAAACAAGGCAGCGAACTAGGATAAAGCATGGATGTGTCACTGACTTAATAGTAGTCGGTTAAAAACTATATCGTTTAAAAAAACCCATCACATCAAAACGCTAATATACGAACGAAAAGTACCTTTTTTCAATAAATTCTCTTCAGATTCTACAATTATGTATCCAAATTAATCGTCCAAAAGTGGTTAGGTTTAATGCAAAGTACATTATTTAAAGTACTTCGCATTAAACCTGACCACTTTTGGACGATTAATTTGGATACATAATTGTAGAATCTGAAGAGAATTTATTGGATAAAAATGTCCTTCGTTCATGCATTAATGTTTAAAAAACTAGATCTTGGAAAACCGGTTTCCCACGTTTCAAGGAAATTATCAAATGTTTTTTTGAACCGCTAAAAACAATCGCCAGTGAAGAACGTGAATCAATGAAGTCATGTTTTAGTAAGTCTAAAGGTCTTTCAAAATTATTTACTTCAACAGCATAAATAGAGTTATGGAATTGACGTTTCGTAAAAACACCGGTTTGTTTCTATACATAAATAAAGCGAGTTCAGCGATAGAAATTGACTAAGAACAAACACTATTTACAGTTCTGTAAGGAATTATGATCAATAATAGAGATGATATATCAGATTGATATAGTATGGTAGCCATATATATTCAACACTACGTACAACTTTAAACGCCTGTAACAGGATTCGAATGCAGTAGTGGATTCGTGACACTTACGTTATTTACGAGAAAATGTTAAAATATATCACAGGCAGAACAGACCCGTATAAAGTTGTAAAGTCGTTAGTTATCAAATTGCATTAATTGGGGTGCCTCCGTGATCCATCAAGAATACTTCGACACAGGTGTAAAAAACACTAAGACAAAATCTCGTAATAAAAAAGCACTACTATGCAAGATCATTGGTAAATTTTGAGTTGTCTATATAAGACTAGCAAAGACAGAATCTCATTACAATTAGTATTCTAAATTTATTTCATTAAGAAAAAGTATATACACAAATTTTCAACTTACTTTCTCTTCCTGTTTTAGAACTGCACGGTTTAACGCTTCGATTTTTGCTTGCATCAGACGTATCTGTTCTTCCAAAAGCTGTTTGTCTTCCTTCAGTAAACGAGCAAGTTGAGCAGTTTTCATTCTTTCTGCCATTAACTTTAGGTGAGCATCATCTTTTTCTCGTAATGTTTTAACAAGACGAACGTTTTGTTCTTGTGCATCTTCAAATGCTTGAACAGTAATCTTTAAATAGCAGGAAAAAATAATATTGACGTAAATTAAGCAAGTTTTTGTTAAAAATGTCAGTATTTTTTTTAAATGGTCAGCTCGAAAGCGTGAACAGAACATACGAAAACCATTTATCTCAAAAAGATTAGTAATAACTTCCAAAGTTAATTAGTAATGTTCATAATAAACTGTAAATATATTCAAGGTCTTTAATAGGCCAAGTTTTTCCTAATAACATTGGTAAGCATTAATATATTGGAATATTTCTGTTAACGGACTGCTTGTAAATAGAGCAGGTGTGAAAAAATACAAACAAAAGTAAATCTCACTTCCATTTCCTTCAATAGTACATCCTCTTGTTGCTTGGCAGCTACAAGTCGTTGTTGGTGAAGTTTTAATTGCTCCTCAACAGATTGACTTTTACGTCGAACTATATACAGTTCCATTTGCAACTCTGATATTTGCCAATCAGAAGCAGAAATTTTAGATTTTCCACAAGACGTGATCGGCAGAGATCCAGATATACTCGAGCTTTTTTCTTCAGGAGAAACCAACCCAGTCTTACATGTTTTCGAAGGAGATAGTGGAATATTTCCATGGGAAGTGAGTGAACGTTCAGCAGGTGACATTTTTAAATTGGGCTCAATAGGAGATGTTAACGTTGACTTCCGCTGTTGCTGCATCTTCGTTTGTTGCGATTGAAGATCTTTGATAGTTGCATGAAGTTTATCGATTTCATTTCTGGCATCAGCCAGTTCACCCCGCAGCTTGGCTTCGCACTGAAGAAGTGCTGCTTTATCTCTTTGATCTTTTGGAATAACTTTATACATGTTGAGTAGTACAGACATTTCTTTTTGTGATTCTTGTGAACGCCTAGAATAAGAATATTATTGTAAATTCGTACTCAATAGAAGAATTAAGAAAAACTACAGGATACTTACTTCAGTTGTTCTTTTAAATCACGAATAATCTCATTGGACGGCGAAGAACACGAGACATTACAACGAAAGTCGGGAGTAGATTCCTAAAATGTAAACAGAGAGTATATACATGTTATTTCAAAACCTTTCATTCAGTAATAAATTGCAACAAAAGTTGTACTTCCAAATATTGTAAGCCCTATCGGTTATGTTGATACTCTGCTAATCCTAATGAGAAAACAAAAATGTTGATATGAGAGCAGATAAAATAGTAACAAATATAGTTGTCTACTGATTAAGTTGTACCCATCGAGATACAATTTATACTGAACAGTGTTCTAGTGAAATCATAATTAACGCTGATAATTAAATCTAACTAAAAAGAAAAAATAACGTTATAAAATATGAAAATCTAAAAATCAGGTAAGCAGCAGTTAGTTAATGCCATATTCAACAATCATACAGATTTTAAACAGTATTTCCATGCTAGTTCAAAAAAACGCAACACTACCAAAAATATCTACCTGAGCTGAAATTTTCTCCATTAATATAAGTATTCAAATCATTTAAAGAATTAGATAAATAAGTAGAAAAAGGTGTAGCTGAAGCATCTCATTTTGTGTAAAACTAGTACTACGTGCTGATATGGTATATAAACATAACCTAACGAGTAGTTGAGGTAGGCTCTAAGTTGATCACACCATAAAAACATAAACTGGATCACAATAACACTGGAAATATAACATTTATTAACGCCGAAATAGACACAGGAACATAGAAAATGTCGATCATGGAAAGTCATTAGAATAACATGGCAGTAAAATGAATATACTTATTTGTATGCATAAAATGTTTGGTCTTATTTACTCCTCCTAATATTTATACTTGCGCTGAGCCGGAAAAATAGATCAATATTTGCAGATAAACTTGAGCCAGTTCGCAAAACGTCAGAAATTCAATTTTCGTATTTGGCGAGATATAAGTAAGATACTATACTTATTTAAAAATGCCTGAAACTAATCTTTCAGACATCAGTTTTAATTAATTAAACTTACAGTTTTCAAAACTTTTTCGGAGCACTTCCATTGACATGAGAGCTTGCTGAAGTGGTGACTGTGCCAGATCGAGCAGTAGATGAACTTGGAGAACTATACTTAACATTTTCCTCCACTTTTATAGGAATTGAATTTTTTGCTCTCAATTCTGGATCAGCAGTTGGTGATCCAACCTCAATAAGAAAAAAGTCATTAATAGACTTAATGTTACATGATACGTTAGCATGGAAATTTGAGAAAGGTAAAATATATAATTAAAATAGTAACAGAGATATTTTTTCTCTATGACGCAACGTCTGATCAAATAGAAATGAAATGCGAACTTACAGAAAAATGTTTACATAAACTATTAAACGCTTTTCATTAACAAACATTGTTGCTTTGTTTATATAAAAAATTCATATTGAAACGAATACTTACATCTGGCATTGTTACTGATGTCTGAGGTAGATTTGAGCTTTGGGGGGTTGATGGTGTCGACTGATCTGACTTTTCACATGCAGTAATAACAGCTGCAGTTGCCTCAGAAAGCGCCGTACGGACACGAATTAACTCATCCTCTGTACATTTCAAATCCGCACGTATCTATATGTATAGAAGTAAATTTTGAAATTGAACATAAAATACCTAGGTGTATTAATTTTACTATAACATTTTATTTATTGATTATACTCGAGGATGATAATTCAGTCATATACTGAAACCACTATCTATTGAGTATATTTTAATGAATAAGAACGTAAATATCACTGAGTTAATATATTTCTTCTGTAGCATAGTTAAAATGATGGGTAAACCACTCAAAAACACGTTCAAAATAAGTATCAAAAAACTGACCATTTCACGTTCCTGTACAGTTTCTTCACATTTTCTACGATAACGAGTCACTTCAGCTTTTAGTTGTTTGTTTTGTGTTTGTAGTGTGGAAATTAGACTACGCATTTCGCAACTGATAGGACCAGCTTGTTCGTTATGCGTCAATGCTTGCTTGAAATCCAATTCCATAGTTTCATATTTGTGCCTTAGTTGAGAGTATTGCCCTTCAATGAGAAGCATTTCAGATCGCATCTGATTCTGTATAGCTGCTTCATTTGCCTAATACAAAAGAACCAAATAATAAACAGTAAACACGAAATTCTTAAAAAACATAATGCTATAGAATTTTATCTACAGAATAATGTGTTCCAGCTATGGGATGACGTTGGACAACTTGAGTTTTAAAAATAACAGAATGGAAGTCATACAAATATCCTACTGAAATGACTAAAAATCAGTTAGGATATAATGAATAAAATGAATGTTCAGTAAACAAACATGCAGTTGTAAACCCATTTGCAATTACCACTTGAATATTTACAAAAATATGAGGCGCATTTTGTTTTAAAATGAGAGACCACGCGATAATAACCGATTATCATTAACATTGCTTTGAGAAACGATTTGGAATATTTTACAGGTCTGTAATTGTAGTGACTTTTCAAGTAGCAGGTTAGTTCTATCTTTCTTAACTGACAACTCATCCAAAATTAGTTATTGCTACAGAGAAATTGTAGCATATAATAACAACAATATTCACAAATAACTAATAATTCAACCGGGTGGTTTTTCAGACAATTAAGCTGCGAATACTTTCCAAGTCATCTTTTGCGATTTCAATCCGTCCTGAAAGAATTCATTTTATAGTTACGAAAATGCAGAATTATAATTTTATTCCACATGAAGGATCAAAAACCTACAAGTAAGAACTTTAAACAATTTTATGTACGCCACTCTCTAAAAGAAACTTCTTTATCCGACAACACAGTACAAAGTCAAGAAACCTATGACATTCAGATCATATGTATTTTCTTCAGAAATGCTATTATATTACGTTGGCTGAACATAGAATCATATGAATATTAGGTAAAAAGTAGTAATAAGTTCTCTCGTAGTTTAATGGTGTGAATGACTGTGTTCATTCCCAGTTGAAAAGAAAGCTGACACCTCTAGAGGAAGTGATCAGCTGTGACAAGTGCCCTGTTAAATACATGACGAACAAAGGAATTTTATGGGGAAAATAACGTTAAAGAATGGTCTAGTTTGTTAGACAAATCCTAATAATCCATATAATGAAATATATGCCATCTAATCAAGAATCCCCTGTGAAACTTATGTGTAGATATGGATAGAGTTCAGAATACTTTCTGAGAAACAATTTATGAGAAATTTCACAATGATTTACACTGTGTCAAGTTAACAATTTTCAATAATAAGCAGTTCTTATTCAATTCTAAGTGTTAGGATGTGCAAAACATTAGTTGAGTCAGTTGTAAAATATCTTGAAATTACTTTATGATTAATGGGCACGTATGTAGTTTTAAGCGGTCAAGATCATGATCCTTACGTAAGCTGTTAGAGGTATGTATGTATGCTAAACTAAAAGAAAATTCTAAGAACAGGAAACGTCTTCCAAAAGGTTGAAGGATAGGATATAAATGTATAAACTTATCAAAGAACTGCATATGCTATGCTAACTCGATCTGGGTAAGTTTAATAATAATGTACTTTTATGATGAGCATTTTTATTCGGTTTGAGAACTGGTATCTTTTTCTAGAGGATAGAACACGTATAAACTAATCAACAAGGAGAGAACTGCTTCTACATTGAAACAAGATACCTTTTGTGGATGAAATTGTTTTCATGAAAACATCCAACCTTCCGAGTTGCTATTAATGTTCATTTTACAGATAATTCTGATGAAAACACTAAGGCTTTGTAATGTGTTTAGACGACAGACATAGAATATAGAAAATAATCAACAGAAGGATTATATAAAACATATAAGTATTGAATTAACTCATTAGATATGAGCTACACCTTAAGTAAAAGCGCTAAGATACTACCCAGTCGCTTAAACCGAAGCAGATGCAGTGGGGTCCGACTCTGAGACTGAATGGTCGCAAATCGAAAGATCTGATCACTAGGCAACCGCTTCCCAAAAATTATATTTACAACAAACAACTGGAAAAAAGAAAAATTAATTTTAGGACGCACCTCCATCTCTTCTATCTGTTTCAGATGATTATGTCTGTTATTCTGAATAGTACTTCTAGCTTCCTCTAACTGACTTCTTAGTTGGATAGCTTCATTATATAGAATATTGAATTGAGTTTTTAAGGATAAATATTGAGGAGATTCTGTGATAATATGCTCGGGAATATCTCTTAACTAATAAAGCAAAAGATATATCAATAAAAAAACAATGAAAGTAAAAATTTGGAATGTGAATTATATGATGGATTGTGATGTACATACTAACTCAAATGATTAGATAACAATTAGAAATCGAACATGTTTGTCACAGTTTAAAAAAATGAATAAAAGAGAATCCTTAAAACGAATTGACTACCTACAATTACAATGAAATATTGGTTTAATGGTCTCGATTTCCGGTCACCCTCAAGTCATCCTGAAAAGAGCACAAAGGGAATAGTTTGATTCAAATAACCTTTATCATACTGATGTTAATGACAATCTAACAGAAATTCGGAAGAGAAAAACAGGCTCTTAAGATGCTACACTTGAATGCAAGCAAATAATTGCACTTCTGAGTATAAACAGCACTGGAGATTTCCGATGACATAATTATATGAAGTGCATTGAAAAAAATTGAATTGGTTCATCGAAATTCTGTAAGATTTCAAATGACAGAGAAATCAGGAAATTTAAAAAAAAATTCAAAACTAACTTGCATATTCAATGAAGCACATTCTGCAACTTTGTCTTCCAAGTGACGTTGAAGGCGCTCTAATTCATTTATACGATTATTTGCCAACTCACGGTACTCTTCCAGTTCACAAGCCAAGTCATTATATTTATTCCGTGTAATTGATCCATCAATATTTGAAGGATCTTCACGACCTACAAGAAAAAGGAAATATTATTGAACTACAAAATAATATAATAACGAAGTACATTAACCTTGTAAAGGCTCTCTACTCGAACACAACTGGTAGAGTAAGAGCTTATGGCGAACTGTCATCAGAATTGATTACCACAAGTGGTGTTCGTCAGGGCTGTTCATTCTCTTCATTCTTCTTCAACTTTATCGTCGACGTACTTTTAGAGATAACACTTTCCTCATCTGAATTTACAGGGGTTGAACTTCTACCGGGAGGTTCACTTGTTGACTTAGAAAATGCAGATGACATAGTTTTATTTGGTGAAGACGCTGACAAAATGCAGAGTCTTCTGACTACTCTGAGCAACAATGCAGGCATGTTCGGGATGCGATTCTCTCCCTCGAAATGCAAAATGTTGCTTCAGGATTGGGTTACATCGACACCCGAACTAGTGATAGGGAGTGAAGTAATTGAGTGTGTCGACCGCTTCACTTATCTTTGTAGTCTCATCAGCCCTTGTGGTCTGGTGTGTGACGACATCTCAGCACGGATACAGAAGGCTCGACTAGCTTTTGCCAACTTGCGTCATTTATGGCGTAGGCGACATATCCGTCTATCAACCAAAGGACGTGTTTACTGCGCAGCAGTTCGTTCCACCCTACTTTATGGCAGTGAAACATGGCCGGTAAGAGTAGGGGATATCCGTAGGTTACTAGTATTTGATCATAGGTGTCTTCGAAATATTGCTCGTATATCCTGAGACCATCGAGTAAGTAATGCAGTTGTTAGGAAACAGGTACTAGGTAAGGATGGCAAATCAATTGATGACGTAGTGAAACTTCATCAGTTGAGATGGCTGGGATATGTGTTGCGTATGCATAACAACCGACTGCCCCGACGAGCGATGTTTTGTTGTATAGGAGTAGGTTGGAAAAAAGCTAGGGGCGGTCAGACCAAAACATGGCACAAGTCCATGAAGTCACTGACAAGTGGACTGAGTCATGTTGGTAGGTGTAGACTACCTGGTTGGGGACCGCGAGATGATAGCAACCGATGGTTAGACACCCTGAATGACATGGCTCAAAATCGTTTGCAATGGCACAGGTGCATCCACTCTTTGTGTTCTCCCAAATTCCAATCTTCTGAATTCTTCATGTCCCTTTTTTTTCTCTTTCCAAATTTATTTCACTGTATTATACTCCTTGAATAACATCTTCAAACCCTAATTTTTCTGATTACAGCTTATAATTTTACTACATCTAGCACTACGGGATTTGAATCGACCACTGCATCTCTGTGCTAATGTGGTGTGGCAACTCGAACTGATGTACGTACGTACGAAGTTCTACGTTGTTACTGACTGACTGACTGACAAGGTCACGAATTTAATGGAATTTTCAATGTCAAGACCTTTGTAACTAATTACTTGTTCATAAAAAAAGTAAAGTGCATTCATAAATATGTATCGATTCAAGCATAGAGAGAGGAATCAACAAGATGAGAAGCGAAAAATACGAAATAACATCAGTGGGGAACTAAACATACTAAATAAATTTAAAAAGACAGCATGAAAAGTTTGGAAAAATAGAAAGCTTGAAATGCAGAGAAAGGTAGAGAATGAAAACATCTGTACATTTTCCATCATAAATCCTAACGCCTAAATTTTGTGAGCTTGAACCATAAGGCTCCATATATTAGATTAGGAACCAAAATTTTGTAACATGATCCAGTTATAGTTTGGCAATGTATAACGTCTTTAACTGAACTAATCCCGTGCTAACCAAGAAGTTTAGATTTTTTCACTAAAGCGATTTTTCTACTGATTATTTCTGACCGATTACTATGATGATTTTGGATAAATTATCACACCTGATAATAAATTAGATACGTCCCATGTTGCGAAAAATGTGATAGATTATAAGAAACCGTATATGATTACGATTGAAAAAACGTCGAACATCTAGCCAAAGAAAAGGAATGCCTTAGCTTGATTATTTATTTTAGTACAAGTATCAACTGATGTTAATGTTATTAAATCCCATTTTTGATACTATTATTGGAAACACTAAAAACAGAACTTTGACAAATCTCTACACAAGAATAATCGTCAGTAGACTTGAACGCAAAACTTTACACCTGAGTACACGCGTAATACTTAGTAATTTGAATAACAATCATGGATAAACAGAGGGGGGCTATAATTAGTAATAAAAAAAATATGAAAACCAGATCAAATATATACCTGGAGAGTCTGAGCATTTGAGAGCTGATAATTCAACCTCCATTTTTTATTCTTTTCCTGAGCTTCATACAGACGATGATCTAAACGCGTAACTTGTTTCATTGCTTCCGCAAGTTTATAATCTAAATCCTCATACTTAGCTTGCCATTCCGCTGACGCGTCACTATTCGTCTGAGCTAAGTCTTGTAGTTCACGAAGCTAAAAATCGACCGTTACAAATTGACGATTAAAAATATGCATAATAAATTGACATATATACTAAAGATTCTTAGTGACTTCTAACACTAACATTGATTTTATATCCAAGAAATGGGATGAAAAACGCTTTGATACAGTTATTAAATAATTCCTGGCTGAATGTTCAACCACAACATTGCAATGATATGGGATAGGAAGTTCTGAAATGTTAGTTTTGGAATGAGGTTAAATTGACGAACAGATCGTACTCCATTCACAAGATGTCAAATTTTCTCGAGTTATACCTAAAAATACTATTCATAGTGCACATTTTTGTCTATTAATCACCACAATTTGAGGAAATTTACGATTCCAAATTCCACGTTTACAACTTTTGACCTCTTGATCTTTTTTAAAAACAAGTATGACGCATTATTAAGATATTTGTTTGGAATTTAATGGCCATTAGTTTGTCTCTTAATTATTAAACATGAATAACACATCAAGATGTGTATTGATATAAAGGAAAAAATAAAGAATTTACTAAGTTATCAACTACAACGGCATGTAAGAATGACCTGAAAAAACTTGTTACACTTTATATGACATCTGATCATCTTTTAGTGTCACCATTTTGTATACAAGTGTCACTATAAGAAAAATTTATTTATTTATTTGAACACATAAATATTGGTACAAATGGGCATCAAATACATGTGTCACACAATAACAATGAGAATGTAAAGTGAGTATAAGAAAAAAGAACAACGAACAGAAATTAGTGTATGATAGTGAAATAATAATAATAATAATAATAATAATAATAATAATAATAATAATAATAATAATAATAATAATAATAATAATAATAATGGGAGAAGCAATTCAGTTAGCAAAAATACAACCAGAAAGAATTCTTTTAGTTAAAGAAGTTACGTCCGTTTTTTCTGGGAAAAAAAGTAAAAGAAAGTTACAGTAGGATCGCCATTGGCTTCTATTATGAGCTACTGATACTAGTTCATTAGAAGCCTTATGTCAATGATTAGCTCTCATGAACACTTATCAGTAGTTTAATCTATATCATCGAGTGTCGTTTATGGATCATTGTTCTCTTCATCATTTTTGACAACTGAAAACATGTCTATCATCAAAATATAAAAGTACCATCCATAACATGCACCTAACTGAAATTATGATTATTTTATAGAGGAAGTAACCATCAAGAAATGAATTATGGAAAAGTTGGTTAAAACTACATACAGTAATACAAACTGAAAAACTTGTACATACGCGAAGACTACTTTGTCGATGTTTAGAATGCAAATTTGTACAAAGGCTTTGGAGACGAAGATTTTCCTTGTTTAAAAGTGTTATTTCCTCGTGCAAATCTACTGCACCAGATCTGCTGCACGTTGTTGAAGCAGGCTCCTGAGATGAACTAGTTGATTGATTGTTACCTTCAGAATCAGAGTTTTGTGTGCCATGAGGAGCCGATGAACTGGAATGAATAGGTAAAATATTATCACTAATTTCAGATCCAACAGAAACTGATGCGGTTTCAGTAGTGTTCCCAAGCAGTTGACGCAAACGAAACTGGTGAGTAACCATTCTGAAAAACAAATTATAAAGATTAAGAAAGTTAGAGAATTTGTTAGTGAAATTTAATTGAAAGGATTGATTTCATGAAATATATACAGTACGGTATAATAATTTTCACTTTTGCTAACAGAACATTGAACGATTTACATAAGGAATACATGATCAAATAACGTAAAAAGAACAAAACTAAATATGATTAAAACATGTCACTCAAGTATAAGATGTTCCCAACCAATATAACAGACGACTAGTAAATGGAAAAAAAGTATGAAGCACAAGCTACTCTTGTACTAAGAAATAAGATACGATACATGAAAATCAAGACACAAACTTATCAAAAGAACTTGCTTTTCATAGGCAGATAAGAGGCGTGCAATAATACGCTTGGAAAAATGCACTCGTTCTTGAAGCTTTTCTGGAACTTCTTCCTTGTCCCATGAAGCCAATTGTTTGAGAAATGATTCTGTAGATGTTGAAACTACGAAAAACGTGGAGTGATAATGAAAGATAAACAAAGAGAAAATAAGGATGTCAAGATGTTGCTGTATCTCAAATATTTGGTGGTTATCTTTGCATATCATAATAATACTGAACAGCAGCTTCTCTGTCAACGTAGTGCTCAAGATTATTGAGTCACTAGTCAGGTTGCACAGACCGAGAGGCTTGCACCCAAACTTCATAAAAGGAGTTGTTTTCAGAAGTTTAGTCTAAATAACACAAGTCAGAACACCCGTTATGGTGATGTTTTTTTCCTAGGGCAAATGTAACTGAAGAGATACCAGTCATATGAAAGTAGTCTAACGCGATTAGATAAATCAAATGATTAATTGTACCTCCTATAACGATGAAAGATAGCACTCATTTAAGCAGAGATAAGTTAAGTTTGGAAGAAATGAAAGATATCGTTATACATGAAATATCTACATGACTACGGTAGTAGGGAAACTAAGTGCTTTGTACAAAAAGAAAATCGAGTACGAAAAAAACAGTAGGAAAGAACGTCAACTAAACGCTGTTGAAAGGTGTTAATCAAGTGTCTGAAAGTAACAACTTGAATATCAATAACAGTAGTTGTTCGAAGGTAAACTTTCATAACAGATACAGACGTTCCGCGTGGCGTTGGACTATAATGAGTAGAAGCTACAGATGGTCAGAACGTTGTAACAGCTCCAAGAAAGCGCAACAAAGCCTTTAGAGGCTCTAAAGAAGTCAGACTCTGTCCAATCAGAACCTGGTAGAACTTTCCAGGATATCAACACAGCATGCTACGATTGGAGAACTATATAAACTCCCTACATGGGGATTGGCCTATACCAAAAACTATAAACACACCTGTGTTTCTGTGCATTTCGTACACTTACCCAATGAACGCTTCTCCGACCTTTTTCGCCTTCTCGACTTGATACCGAATTCTACATGTTCGAGTGGCAAAGCCGTATACCGTAATCAACCAGAGGATGAAAAACTAATGGCAGGAATGAAATAATGATGAGTTCCAAGAGTTTTATTTATCCCTGTTGAGTAATCAACACATAAGTGGACGCTCTATTTACCGATTTTCGTGACCATTATGGATTTTTATTTTGCATACTAAAAATAATACGCAATTATTTTACACGAAAAATACTTGTGTCCAGCGCTGACTATGAAAATTAAAACAATTTACATAATTCAGTTAATCATCCCACCTAGAACACAAATAAACACACCCATAACCAATTAAAAGTTGATTCAAAAATCGATTAAGTTACATTGAAAGATAAAAAATAAGCTTTTAAAACAGAAGCATACTTTCTTCCTCAGCATCCGAATCAAAACGCTGAAGTATAATCAAGCTATCTTCATCGAGCTAAAATTTCAAAAGAAATTAATTAGAAACAACAGTCAGTAATTAAATTCCATCTGAATGACAAAACTTATGACCATCAAAAAATTGGCGTTACAAGCATAACAAAGTTGTGCCAAACTGTTCAGGTTTGAACTTTGTTAGCCCTCAGGTAGTTTAGAAGGTAAATACGAATAGATTTCTGCTTGAATCCTATCACACAATGGCAGCGCTTTTCTTCGCTTTTAGGATTGGTTGAAGTTGGGCACTAACACCGTTGGATGCCGGCTTAGTGATCTAGAGGTTAAGGGTTCGCGCGCGAGACCAAAGCTCCTGAGTCCAGATCGCACGTGAGGGATCATCCCATCAGCTGATAAACAGAATTCTACATGAGTGTAAGCAAGCTAAATGATATGGGAATGTGATGTAGGTTTATAGAAGAGATAAACTGTGAAAAAGCAGTGAATAAATAAACTTCAAGTTTCCGAATTTCACTAGTTAATACAACACCAAAAAATAGTAAGTTAAAAAATGATTGTATGCTTAAAGATTTAATAGTACACTTATATGGTATGCCCTGCCAAGATTTTATTTTACATGCTATGGAACCATTCTACGAATATACCCACAAAATAAAATAATGCTACTGTCTAACAGTGATTGACTATGAAATGTTCATTGGAGATATAAATGTTATTTTTAAACAACAGTGTTTTTGCATACAAACCTTACATCTATGGAAAGCATACGCAATAAATGTGAATTGATGTTAGCAAAATGACAGTACATAGACTGGAGAACTTCATATTTACGCAGTTGTATCCGCTCGTTGTGAATTAATGTGGTTTGTTAGTGACCCTACTTGTGCTTCATTTTCAGTGGTTAATAATTAGTGAAATTAAAACTAGTAGACAGCAGTCAGATTCTAAGTTCAATGATTCGAAATGCATGTCGACATTTTCCAATCCTATAAGATGTACTAAATCTCTGTTCACTTGTTTGAATACAAATGAAAGTTGTTTATTCAGTACGTTCGACATGAACAGAGTGAAACATCAACAAAACACAACTTTTGGTAAGCTTATTCTTAACGCCAATGTAATTTCATGAAATATAAAAATGAGATATTGGTTTACGTACATGGCACGAACAGAAAATTACCAGTAATGAATCATACTACCAGCTGCTTGAATTTCAGATTTTTTAGTAATGTGTTGACTCCCCTACATTACGATCTTGGCATCCATAAAATGGTAATCCAATTCCATGGAATACACTGAGTATCCCAACTTAACAGTTTGATTTCCTACACTTAAAAAATCCAAACAGATCGGTCCTATCGAAACCCGAAACCTCGACAACAAGAATGACTTATAACAACAAGTGGGGACCTTCGTTATGGAATAGAGTAAACAAACTGAAGATCGGACATACTACCTGTGTTGATGAACACAAGGTCCATATGTTTAAAGTGATAAAGTTGGCAACGAATAAATCGAAAACCAAGAAGCGCAGTCAAAAGCGACTGTCAGATTTTAGTAAATCTGATTTGTCTTCAATTACTTTTGGAAACGTCTAGCTTTTGAATAGTAAATAATTATTAATAGATTACAATATGAATTTTTTTCTTGTGTTGTAATGTAAACTGTATGCCTTAAGGAAAATACAAGTCTGTAATATACAAGACACTGTGTACTGAGAAGTAATATTAAGCCTATATATCCAGCGAATAATCACTAGACTTAACATAGCAGTAATAATCTATGCGAAATATTTTTGTTAAAATCACCTGATTCCAGTAACGATTGACTACACAAAGTAAAGCATCATCCTTAGTTTGGCGATTTTCTAGGTGTTCAATACGTTCCTTCAATTCAGCAATGGCAGCTCGACGTTCCATCAACGCTTCCCATAGTTTTTTATTTTGAAGCTGTAATGCTCTCTTATCAAGTTCCTCCAAGGATGAGATTCGGATGAATGATATAGGCTCTGATGCAGCTGAAATTAAACGTTTACTGATCGGGGGAGTCGAATCTAATTGTGAAGTAGATCCATGTAGTAAATCATGGTCCGGATTTGTATCTTCAGAAAATGACCTCTTCATCTTCTGCAATTTTTTAAAAAAAACAGTTAAGACATCACAATATAAAAACCCACCTCAAACTTGCAGAATATTGTAATACATTCAGTATACAAAGATCTAGTTTGTGTGAGAAAAAGGATCGAATACCACTTGCGAACACTAACATCTTCATAAACAGCTACTTTACAAATCAAGTTGTTCTAAATTTATAAATGAAAAATATATTCATTTTATTTGGTTAAAATTTTCAGATAAAGCTACCCTATAACTTAAAGCCAATCTTTAGGATTACTATTTTAAGAAAACTTCCTGAGAAATACACAACAGCCAGCTACTAATACAGGGGGTAGTAAATATTAATTCATCTAGTCTACTCATTCCTTTGATTGACAAATCATTCCTATTCAAATACTAACGATAAAATTAGTGAATACAACTAGGCGACCGATCTGCTTGCTACAGACTATTTCGCTTACATAATTAACTGGATATGTAAAAACGCTGCTAGAAGTATACCTAAACCTTGATTTTACTAAGGACAGAGTCAACCTGTAAACTTCGATTACTAAACGCACATGCAACTACGTCACACATAACAGTAACAAAAAAAATAATCAAAAAAATATCTATGAAAAAGTACGTATTTTTATTTGAATCACCGTTGAAAGGCAGTTACGGCAGAGTTACAAGAAATCTTTGTAGGAAGAGAGTGAAATATCATATGAAAGCAAATTGGGATTTTAAAAATTAAAAGATTGAAAGAATACCATTTTTCGATTTACACAATAACTCATTTTAGGCAACAAGAAGGTTCATTTTTTACACTCAAAGGGCTGAACGATAACAATATCATATCAACATAAATAAAAATATCAAAACAGCGTCAACGAAGTGATAAGTAATGCAAGACTCGAAGCATTTTAGCTAGAGAAAAAATGATATAAATAGTAAAGCATTAATCAATTCTCATAATATACCAGGAAGCCCTGTGAAGTTAAAGGTAGCAAGTCAAATACCCTTCGATTACAGAAACAATGACAAAGAATAAGCTGGTGGGCTAACGATATAGTCAAACCACACAGCATCAGCCCGGTAAGGAATCGACGTTTAACAGGATAACAAAAATTAAAAAAGGAGGCACATATGGTGCTTCGAAAATATCGCATTTTCCATACAGATGTGTAAAACACTTTTAAGAACTAAGATAATTACCATGGCAAGAAAACTTATAGAAGAGAAAATAACTATCGAGGTAGGAATGCATAATGAGTCGATAGAGAAAAAGATAATCACCAACATATGAATAAATACATGATCGTAAAAATCAAATAACTGATCATTTGTTGGTTTGACTAATGGATAAATTAAATAATTGCAAAAATGAAAACAACGCGGAGGAAAAACGCATAAAATACTCATATAAATGTACACTAACATGCAAACACTGCTCAAGTTACAAATGGTAATTAGCCAACGATTTGACAGTTTCTAAGTGAAATAAGATATATAGAAATATCTAAATAAAGAGTTTGGTACATCTGATAGTTAGGAAATCACTCAGTTCACCGAGTGTCATAAATAAGAAAGTAAAAATATGAATGTACTATGGTTGGCTAGATGAAGACATCCATTGGATCAAAATAACAATGAATTTATCAGATAGTATACGTAAATTGTGTATCCATGTAAAGCATTGCGTCCGGGAATACTATTTACGTGTTTGTAACCAAAAACTTTTTATTCAAGATTTGATTAAAAATGATGCTTCAAGAAAAGATCAGATATTGAAATGGGAAAAAATACATTGTTAACAAAAACGTCATAATACAATTCCTATATATATAATATTCCTGGGTAGGAATCAAAAACAGAATCTTGTGAACAGTACTTGTAAGGTATTGTACATGAAGAAACTCACAGATGAGCTTGTTTGGGATGAAAATAGCACACAACAAAAAATATATCAGTTGCATACAAAATACGCATATCAGAAAAGGGAAAATGACAAAATTCGCATTAAAATTCTAACACTCATGAAATAAAACTACGTGTTCATAATACATACCAATCCACTTAGTTCATACAAATGAAATTATGAAGCCTGAGAAACACAGAAAAAATTGAACAGCTTCATTATTTTTCTTTCAACGAACAGAAACTATTTCCTCTGAACATGCAAACTTTCTACTGCAGCCAATGGAGTTTGTGGTTGTGATTTTCCCAAATTCATAAGTCTGATATTTTGAGGATCAAACATCATATGCTCATTCATGAAAGGTCGATTGGGAGAGTTATGAGACGCAATTGAAGGTATGTGTACAGAAGAACCAACCAAACGGGATGAAGTAGCAAGCGCTGCTGCAGCAAGTGCTGATACCTGTGCGGCAGCAGAACTTGATGGGCTTACTAGACGTGTGTCAATTGGTTTTGGAATTACTCCATTAACATGTTCGCCCGAGCGCGATGAATATGGATCACAAATACCAGTTTCCATCACTCGACTATTTTCTAAGCGATGGGAACCAAGAGGTAAAGCATACGTAGGTCTTACAGAATTACTGGTGGATATATTGACAGTGTTTATGACAGTTGGATGGCTATCAAGTGGGTTGTTGCTGTAGGTTAAATTAGTACTGGCGACGTCCATATCCTCGAAATCTTCAGCAAAAACAAACGGCTGTGATTGAGTCGGGATAGAAGTTTGAACAGTATTTGGAAGATGTGCAACCAACGTAGACTGCAACTGCTCGGGGTGAGGGGTTCCAACATGTAGAATATCAGTTCCTTGCATAAGTGTATTAGGATTTGCCATGATTGTATGTCCAACGAAGCCTGGAGAACTAAAATATGTAAAATATATCAATGTACCCAGTTACCATATCATCATAACAAATCAGACATGGATACTTAGAAAACCCTTAGTTGCAATACAGATATCTCATACACCCAAAATGTGATTAATATGCAAAATTCTGAAACTCTTACCTGCTGGATGAAATCCCAGACCTTCGACGCGAGCGTGAACTGGTTTGCCAAGTAGATACCCATGGATCACGAGCCATGTCAATATGGATTTGGGGGTCGACATAAGTAAATCCTTCAAAAACATCAGAAACCATTGCAGATATTGGCAAGCCTTCATCCGGACTTTCGACGGGATTTTCTTGAGTGAATTTGGGATCGAAAAGAGAAACATCCGTGTCAGATGTTAAAGTTGGTCGGAAGGGTGGTTCAACCTGCTTTTTCAGAACACGATCCCAATCAGTATTACGAAAGAATGGGTGCATCTTGATCGCCTCGGAATCGGATGGACCAGAACCAAGGCGTCTACTGACATCAACAACTAAAAGCTAAAGAAATTATAGAATAAATTAAACATGTAAACGAGTGCTGACGACCAAAATGGAGATATCAAACAAGAAATTATTCTTTCAGAGAGGTTTACATTGACCTTTCCTTCATATTGATCAGCAATCATGAGAAATAGGGCACTTTTAGGAGTTGCTAAACAAAGCAATAAACAATTAATTTAACCAGTGGGATGACTTTAATATTTGTCTTGATCTTCGTAAAAAAATTTACTGATTTGACGACCAGAAATTACACTTAAGATGTTTGCTGAATTTTTCGTTCAATACATACTGCAACGGAGCACTTTCAACTGAGTTATCACACTTCAAAACAGCGAAAAGACAATCACCAAGAGGTTAGGATTAATATACATGATCATGGGCAGCAAAGAACAAATTGCGAATAATAAAACATTTGAGATTTAGAAGTCTGCATACCGTTATACAAATCAAGCCAAGAATGAGTGACTACACGGATTGTTTGAGCGTTTTAGTCTGGTCGCCCGTAGCCGCTATTGAACATAATCCGGCTACAGCTAGCCTATGTAAACTGTAAATTGACGTGTAACGCGTGAATCGACCAAGTCAAAGGAGGTCTATAGTCTTGTTGACTGTCATATTAATTTATGGATCACAGCTTTGCCCATTTTTTGTCAGGTGTCCTAATCATCCTAATCAAGTAATGACAAATGAATTTCTTGAAGAATACCACTGCTATGTACTGTCAATGCTCCTAAAAAACTACTCTTTTATTACAGTACTTGTTTTCTGAATACTAATTCAGAAATCAGTATCTTCATAGTTATAATTAATTTATTAATTAATACAAGTCAGTCAGTCAGTCAGTAACAACGTAGAACTTCGTACGTACGTACATCAGTTCGAGTTGCCACACCACATTAGCACAGAGATGCAGTGGTCGATTCAAATCCCGTAGTGCTAGATGTAGTAAAATTATAAGCTGTAATCAGAAAAATTAGGGTTTGAAGATGTTATTCAAGGAGTATAATACAGTGAAATAAATTTGGAAAGAGAAAAAAAAGGGACATGAAGAATTCAGAAGATTGGAATTTGGGAGAACACAAAGAGTGGATGCACCTGTGCCATTGCAAACGATTTTGAGCCATGTCATTCAGGGTGTCTAACCATCGGTTGCTATCATCTCGCGGTCCCCAACCAGGTAGTCTACACCTACCAACATGACTCAGTCCACTTGTCAGTGACTTCATGGACTTGTGCCATGTTTTGGTCTGACCGCCCCTAGCTTTTTTCCAACCTACTCCTATACAACAAAACATCGCTCGTCGGGGCAGTCGGTTGTTATGCATACGCAACACATATCCCAGCCATCTCAACTGATGAAGTTTCACTACGTCATCAATTGATTTGCCATCCTTACCTAGTACCTGTTTCCTAACAACTGCATTACTTACTCGATGGTCTCAGGATATACGAGCAATATTTCGAAGACACCTATGATCAAATACTAGTAACCTACGGATATCCTCTACTCTTACCGGCCATGTTTCACTGCCATAAAGTAGGGTGGAACGAACTGCTGCGCAGTAAACACGTCCTTCGGTTGACAGACGGATACAAGTGTGAAATATTGTACCACGGTTTGCGACGCCCGACCTTTACTAATTTGCTAACGACCGTATTCTAGGAAGTATCGAAACTAAAATGTCAAACTTCACATTTTAGAGACGGTTACAAGTTATTCAAGAACATGGTTAACGTAACTAATTATGCGAAAGTCAAATTACACAACATACCTTGGAAATAAGTGATACGGCTTCCCGACTTAAATAAGGTACAGGTATGAAATCACCTCGTAATATCTAAAACAAAGTAAAATTGCATTAAACGACTAGCTTATAGATCTACCTTGTTGACGAACATGAATTCTTCATGACACCACAAAACAGGGTTCATTCAACTTTAGAATTTTATTACAATATTTAGTTTAAAAACATTGAACAGTTTACAAAACATTTCCAACCTGCACAAGTATCACATATTAAACGGTTCTTATGTCAATTAAGCTTTCCATATCCGCACCAGTTTCAGGAAAAGACATGGGCGATGTAATTGATTTTGCTACTGATAATTTAAGTGGGTTTATATTGTTTCGTAAGTGAAATTAAAACGCTAGATCTTGAAAATGGATTGGATTAAAAACACTGGAGATATTTTCTCTTTCTAACAAGTGCCTCAAATGCCCTGGTATGGCCTAAAGCGGGGTGGGTTCGCCCTCCCTATCGAAATACTCTCACACGGCCACGCGTATATAGCCGCTGCCAGGAAAGTCCTACTCACTGCCTTCTCGTGTCAGGGGTGTTGTTTACAAAAATGAGAGGACGAAAAGCGAATGTCCGACGCTTTAACCGGATTCCAAACCAATGATGTACATGGGCTGGCTCCAGTATCCTGCGGGAACAAATGGCGTATGAACCAATTCCTTGTTCACCGGCTACCATGGGATTGCATCTCCTTACGATGCTCCACTGCCTTGTGGATCAGACCTTCAGGTCGAGGGCTCAGGGTGTGGCCCCTTAAGAAAACCGCCTGCTTCGGTTTGGGCACCCAGGCAGTATCTCAGCCCGCACATAAAAACATGATAAACATGATAAATATTCCTCTCGCTCCAAATAACAATCAAGTGACTCGCATTATTATTATTATTGTTCTTATTAATATTATTGTTATTATTATTTACTACGTCATTATTCACCCTCTTTTATTCCCACTCTGTTGATACTGATTCTTCGACTTATAAAGCAGGTCGACTTTGGTGGAAATTCGACTGTATCTAAACGTTCTCGAGTCACTGTCCGGTTGAAAATTGTATGTTACCACTGAATATGAGTACTGAAGCAGTTTTTCTGAAACCACGTGCACCATTCAAACTGGCTGCCTTCAACGTTCGCACACTTATGCAGGTTGGACAACAGATAGGGCTGGCTATGTCTTTGGAAAGTCTTAATACCGATGTTTGCTGTCTATCCGAGACCCGTATTCAAGACTCTGGTGAAGTACTACAAATTCGATCTCCATCTGTCGCTTCGAAAAGCTTGTTTTACGTGCGCTTATCCGGGGACCCTGTGGCATCTTCGTCTGGTCTTGCTGGCGTTGGTGTCGCACTAAGCGCTAGAGCTGAGGCAGCACTAGTCGATTGGATCCCCATTAACAGTCGGTTATGTGCTGTTAGATTAGAAAGTTTCATCAAAGTGAGAAGAAATCGGAGTGAGAAACGATGTCTTTTCGTCATCTCCGCCTATGCCCCGACAGATTGCAGCCCGGATGCAATCAAGGATGAGTTTTACCACCAGTTATCTGTTCTTCTCCAGAAAGTGCGTTCGACAGATATTGTAGTACTAGCCGGAGACTTGAATGCTCAGGTCGGGCGTCTAGGCGCAGAAGAGAGTCGTTTAGGTGGCCGATGGGGACTCGTTGGTCGCAGGTCAGATAACGGGGACCGTCTACTGCAACTGTGCACAGACCACAACCTGTTTCTGGCTAGCACTAACTTTCGGCACAGTCATCGCCGATGTGCCACCTGGCGTCCTCCCTCTGCATCTCAAGCCTGGACTCAGATTGATCACATCGCGATCAGCTACCGCTGGCGTGGTTGTGTACAAGACTGCCGCTCCTTTTGGAGTACCTATCTGGACTCTGACCATGCCTTGGTCTGCGCCAATCTTACCTTACTTTTCAGTGGACAACGAAGTGACCGCCACCATCGAATTGATGTTAGCAAGTTGGTTGCAACTTCTGTTGCAAGTGCCCCCTGAATGCCCTGGTACGGCCGAGAGTGGGGAGAGTCCGCTCTCCCTCTCGAAATACTCTCACACGGCCACGCGTATACAGCCTCTGCCAGGGAAGTCCTACTCATTGCCTTCTCGTGGCGGGGGTGTTGTTTACGAAAATGAGAGGACGAAAAGCGAATGTCCGGCGCTTTAACCGGATTCCAAACCAATGGTGCACATGGGCTCCAGTATCCTGCGGGAACGAATGGCGTATGAACCAATCGTTGGTCACCGGCTACCATGGGACTGCATCTCCTTACGATGCTCCACTGCCTTGTGGGTTAGACCTTTAGGTCAAAGGCTCGGGGAGTGGCCCCCTAAGATAACCACCTGCTTCGGTTTGGGCACCCGGGCAGTATCACAGCCCACACACAAATGATGAACTCTTTATGTCTATGGAAATTACTTTTGTCGCTTTGAAAAACAATCAATTGATTCAAATTATTATCATTACAATTATTGTCATTATTAATACTAATATTATTATTACTACTATTATTGTCATTATTGTTATTATTATCATTATTATTATTATTTTCCACATTATTCACCCTCTTTTATACTTATACAGCGGCTCGTCTTTGGTGGAATTCCGACTGTATCTAAACGTTCTCGAGTCACTGTCCGGTTGAAAATTGTATGTTACCACCGAATACGAGGACTGAAGCAGATTTTCTGAAACCACGTGCACCATTCAAACTGGCTGCCTTCAACGTTCGCACATTTATGCAGGTCGGACAACAGATAGGGCTGGCTATGTCTTTGGAAAGTCTTAATATCGACGTGTGTTGTCTATCCGAGACCCGTATTCAAGACTCTGGCGAAGTACTACAAATTCGATCTCCATCTGTCGCTTCGAAAAGCTTGTTTTACGTGCGCTTATCCGGGGACCCTGTGGCATCTTCGTCTGGTCTTGCTGGCGTTGGTGTCGCACTAAGCGCTAGAGCTGAGGCAGCACTAGTCGATTGGATCCCCATTAACAGTCGGTTATGTGCTGTTAGATTAGAAAGTTCCATCAAAGTGAGAAGAAATCGGCGTGAGAAACGATGTCTTTTCGTCATCTCCGCCTATGCCCCGACAGATTGCAGCCCGGATGCAATCAAGGATGAGTTTTACCACCAGTTATCAGTTCTTCTCCAGAAAGTGCGTTCGACAGATATTGTAGTACTAGCCGGAGACTTGAATGCTCAGGTCGGGCGTCTAGGCACAGAAGAGAGTCGTTTAGGTGGCCGATGGGGACTCGTTGGTCGCAGGTCAGATAACGGGGACCGTCTACTGCAACTTTGCACAGACCACAACCTGTTTCTGGCTAGCACTAACTTTCGGCACAGTCATCGCCGATGTGCCACCTGGCGTCCTCCCTCTGCATCTCAAGCCTGGACTCAGATTGATCACATCGCGATCAGCTACCGCTGGCGTGGTTGTGTACAAGACTGCCGCTCCTTTTGGAGTACCTATCTGGACTCTGACCATGCCTTGGTCTGCGCCAATCTTGCCTTACTTTTCAGTGGACAACGAAGTGAACGCCATCAACGGATTGATGTTAGCAAGCTGGTTGCAACTTCTGTTGCAAGTAAGTATCGAACCGAGCTAGCCTCTAGGCTAGCTACCACTCCACCGAAAAGTATAGATGAGCATTGGTTGCAATTGCATGACGCCATGAAAATGGCGGGAACAGTCAGTTGTGGGTTTGCGAAACGTCCCGCTTTTAAGCACTGGGTTTCTTCTGGTTCCTTACAACTCATTGAAGCCCGTCGGTCTACTCCGGGTGACCGTGAGTTTGACCATAAACGAAGGATGTTACGTAAGGAAATTGGGCAAAGCTTGCGTAAGGACCGAGAAGCCTGGTGGTCGATGCGTGCTAATGAGCTGGAAGCAGCAGCTGCATCTGGTAACTACCGGAAGCTCTTCCAGCTCATCCGAGCCACTGGCAGCAAGAAGTCTGGTGTGAGTGAAACAATCTGCGAGGATGATGGGATGCCAATCACTAACATCCATCGACGTCTTGGACGATGGGCAGAATTTTTCGAAGGGCAGTTCAACTGGCCTGCTGCTCCGGCAACATCGGTCAGACTGTCCTGCCCTCCATGGCCGGTGACGACTGATCCACCAAACGAGGAGGAAGTCCGCAAGGAACTCCAACTCTTGAAGCGTTACAAATCACCTGGCCCAGATGACTTACCTCCGGCTCTTTTTAAAGATGGTGGTGACTTTTTGACTAAGGAATTGACGACGTTGTTTACAAAGGTTTGGGAACTAGAGAGTGTACCAACGTCATGGAATGAGTCGATAGTTGTCCCTATCTTTAAAAAGGGTTCACGTCGTTCCTGTAACAACTATCGGGGGATAAGTCTACTTCCGATTGCGTCCAAGCTATTGGCTTCCGTCATACTTCGTAGGTTGTTCAAAACCCGAGAAAGATTGACTCGCGAGGAGCAGGCTGGGTTTCGTTCTGGTCGAGGATGTATTGATCATATCTTCACCCTCCGCCAAATGTTAGAACACCGCCATACTTATCAAAGGCCAACAATCGTAGTGTTTCTTGACATCAGGGCTGCCTTCGATTCGTTGGACAGGACTGTTCTCTGGGATTGTCTATTGAAGAAGGGTGTGCCTGAGAAGTTTATTAACATCCTAAAAGCCCTATATAAAACACCTCAGGCAGAGTGAGGGCATACAACCACCTCTCTCCATTGTTCCATTCGAGCAGTGGGGTTAGGCAGGGTTGCCCAATCTCACCATTCCTCTTCAACTTTGCCATCGATGACATTCTGGAAACAGCTCTGATGAATGTAAGTAATGGTGGTGTGGATCTGTTGCCTGGAGAAAGACTTCTCGACCTTGAGTATGCGGACGATATTGTCTTACTGTGCGATAATGCCCAAGGCATGCAATCCGCACTTAATCAGTTGGCAATCAGTGTCCGTAGGTATGGTATGTGCTTTGCACCTTCGAAGTGCAAAGTACTTCTACAAGACTGGCAGGATTCTAATCCTGTACTCACCCTGGATGGTGAGCAGATAGACGTAGTCGAGAAGTTCGTGTATCTGGGTAGCTGCATAAGTGCTGGTGGGGGTGTGAGTGATGAGATCAATGCACGAATAGTGAAAGCCAGAGCGGCTTATGCCAATCTGGGCCACCTTTGGCGCCTTCGTGATGTTAGTCTGGCTGTAAAAGGTCGGATCTACAACGCGTCGGTGAGAGCAGTTTTGCTCTATGCTTGTGAAACCTGGCCTCTCCGAGTTGAGGACGTTAGACGACTCTCTGTGTTCGATCATCGCTGTCTCCGAAGGATTGCTGACATTCAGTGGCAACACCATGTCAGTAATGCAGAGGTTCGGCATCGTGTGTTCGGGCACAGAGATGATAATTCAATTGGTGTCACCATCTTGAAACACCGACTTCGGTGGCTTGGACATGTTCTCCGAATGTCGTCCCAGAGAATTCCACGTCGTGCATTATTTGCCGACTCTGGGACTGGTTGGAAGAAGCGGAGAGGTGGTCAGTGCATGACATGGTGTCGTGGCATGAAAGAAAGCTGCAAAGGACTGGCTTGTGTTGGTCCTTCACGACTCCCTGGTTGGGGTCCGAGAGATGGTGCTACACAGTGGCTAGAGACGTTATCAGATATGGCTCAGAATAGAAGCCAGTGGCGATCCTGCTGTAACCTTCTTTTACTTTCTTCATAAAAAGTGGTTGTGTCTACCTTACCTGAAAGATTTCTTCTGATTGTACCTTTCTGTTCCCTCATTATTACTACCTTACCTTACACCAATCTCTTCGTTATTGTTCTTTTTTTACCCTCCTTACCTTTTTTCTCTTTCCTTCTGTTTAAATTCTCATTATTTTGTGTGGCGCATATATATTTGGCGCACTGTTGTACCAATATTATTTATTCATTTATTTTAACACATAGATATTGGTACAAGAAGGCACCAAATACATATGCGCCACACAAATCTCATTCGATATGTGTGAGGGCTGTGATAATGCCTGGGTGCCCAAACCGAAGCAGGCGGTTTTCTTAAGGGGCCACACCCTGAGCCCTCGACCTGAAGGTCTGATCCACAAGGCAGTGGAGCATCGTAAGGAGATGCAATCCCATGGTAGCCGGTGAACAAGGAATTGGTTCATACGCCATTTGTTCCCGCAGGATACTGGAGCCAGCCCATGTACACCATTGGTTGGAATCCGGTTAAAGCGTCGGACATTCGCTTTTCGTCCTCTCATTTTTGTAAACAACACCCCTGACACGAGAAGGCAGTGAGTAGGACTTTCCTGGCAGCGGCTATATACGCGTGGCCGTGTGAGAGCATTTCGAGAGAGAGAGCGGACTCTCCCCATTCTCGGCAGTACCAGGGCAAACAAATAAGTAAATAAACTGGAGATATTCAAAATTCGCTATATTCCCACAATTCAAAGTCCAAAATATTTTCTTTTACTTTGTGACAGTTGACATTGAGGTGTTTCACACTTTTGCTAGGTACTGACGGAAGTCAGTCGTTTACAAACTTATCAAAACAAATGTATTTCCCTTAAGTTTGAAAAAAAAACAAGATTGCTTACCAAGTCAATAGTTTGTCTTCTATCATCGCCTGTAAATGGAGGCTGAAAGTGAGAATAATATGAATCAATTTCCACGTAAAAATAATCAAACGACTATACAATTAAGTGAGGAACTTACAGATCCCGAAAGCATATCATACATAAGCGTGCCAAGACTCCACCAATCAACGGCTCTCCCGTGTCCTTGACGTAACAATATTTCGGGAGCCCTATAAAATGAACACAAAATTGATATTAATATCTCAAAAAGACCACTAAACAGACGAGACTGAATAGTGAGTGATGACGCAATTTGAAGTCGTTACGCTACTAAAGAAAGAAAACGAGAAATGTTGTATGCCTTGACAACAAATCTTTGTATCTTCGATTACGTGAACGAGATCGCGAATAAAAACACTTCCAGAACATAACATTTAAAGTTTATTTGATTAAAAAAATTAAACAAGAGCGATGTACTGAAACAGCTGCTTCACAATGAAGTCGAAGACGGAATTATTTGATTTCAATAAACCCGATTTACTTACAGCAAAGAAAGCGTTTACTAGTATCTGTCGTCTTCCCACTACCATACATAAAATTCCCTTATAAACCCCTTTGTAATACTGCAAATTAGACAGAAACGAAAATGAGAAACAATGAACCCTGAATCAATGGTCGGAAAAGTGTGCTTGTCGTGAAGCTTTGAAGTAGGCGAGGCTTGCTAAGAGAAAAGCTGTTTAGTGCTTCTCAAGCTAAGTGGCTTATCAGCTAAAGCCAGTTTATGAAAACCTTTAAAAATTGGGTTGACTTGTACAACTAACCAAATAACCAGGGTTACACTTTTCCAGCTTTACTTGTCATAAACAATATTCCAATACATTCCAAAATTACTTAGTACTTACATGTACTCAATAGTCCCGCAGAATGTGTGAGTTAAATTATCACGATCGACTCTCTCTTTAGACAATCCAAAATCCGTTAGTTTAACATGACCTTGATGGTCTAAAAGTACATTTTCGGGTTTCAAATCTCGATAAACAATCCCCATCGAATGAAGATGACCGATGGCAAGAGTTATTTCCGCCAAATAAAAGCTGAGGGAAACAGAAGGGAAAAAACCAGTACAAGTTATTTCATTGCATCATTTCTAAAGTCATTTACCAAATAAAATGATAAGAAGTGCTGGAAATGTTTTATTTTTTAAATATTGGCTTGAAGTTTAGAATTAAAGATTTTAGGTGGCATGTAAAGCGACAAACCTTATTTGCCCGATTTCGCGCCCTAAATTAAACGAAACGAGAGTTCATTTAAGCGCACAGTCATGTGCGAACAATTCGTAAAATCCAAGATATCTCAGTATTCCCGTCTCACAATAAACTGCAACTTCTAAAAATCGTTCGTCAAATCGACTTATTCATCTTACGAACCAACTTAAATTAGATATCTACTGAAAATCAGGAAGCATTGAACTTTTCAGCTGCATGCGTCCACGAACTTACGACAACGGAAAGTAGAACCTTTGATTTCTGGCGAATGCTTAGCCCGTAAAACGCTAGGTCCTAACCTAATGATGCTTGTGTTCAAGTTTGGTCGATTCATGGTATTCCATATGGGTGTTTTGATGATCTCGATTAACTTTGGGCACAAAGACCTTGATTAGAATTTTTTAACATAACACTAGATTGCTTGCGATCCGGATGTGCTGAGTAATAAAACATTTTATTGAAATCACTGGGAAGTAGAAAGCACTGACCGAAGTTAATTTAATCTTACGCACTTAAATATAAACATACTGTGGTTGGTGAAAATAATAACATGATGTTAAAAACCTTGTTGACGCGAATGAAAACATAGTAGATCAGTAGTAAAAACTCGGGTACCATATTCTCTGAGATATCTCGAAAATACACAAACCCATGAAGCAATAAGAACTAGATATTTCAGATGTTGATAAGTGGATGACGCAGTTTTTAACTAACTAGTTTGAATTTGATGAAGTGTACAAAGGACAATTCTCAATAATTTTATTAGCCGTGTTACTTTGACGAGACTAAGATTCACAGAAACTTATGTTTTGTAGACACCCAAATGCCGCCTTGAGCACTCTGTAACGGCTTTTCTCGAGATTTCCTGCTGGAAAATAAACTGAGTTGCTGTTTCATTACGCTTGAGGCCAATACTAAGTCCAATAAACGAATACTACTTATCAAAAGAACTATTTCGATCACTTTTAGAAACAAAGACTACAAACAACAAAACTTAAGTTAATAAGTAGCGCTTGTATACTGAGACGAAATCAATAGGATGTATAAGCAAACTAACCTGGCTTGATCTTCCATAAACACTCCCTCTTTCTCAAGTTGCATGAACAGCTCACCTCCAGCTAGAAATTCCAAGACTAGGTAAAGCTTTCCAGGGGATTGGAAAGCAAAATGCAATTGAACTAGGAATGGATGCTTCACAATAAATATGACATTGAGGACGTACTTTAATCATTTCGAGTATATTTCTCTCGCTTTTAGTGTGTGCAGTATCCTTGGCGTTCGTCACAATCGAGGCTTTCTTTAAAACTTTCATCGCATAGGTTTGACCAGTATCATTTTTGCGTGCAAGGAAAACCTACACATATATATTGTAAGAAAATGCCAAAGTTATACTTTTCCATAACCACCTTTCCCAAGGACCTTCAGAAGTTGAAAGTCGTGTGGCCGGACTTTAGGTTGACCAGGATTCACTGTCTCTTCGCAAATTTCAACCGTTTTAATGTCTTCATCGAGTCTACAGATTAATTAAACCGGGAATTCTTTAAGCTTACTCATCTGGTTTAAGTGGGCCACGTTCAAGAAACTCATCCTATAACACTAGTTTTAAAATCAAATACCTTACCTCTACCCCTCCATTTGTAGAGCAATAATCGTGAGAATTTTCTTCACTGTCGTCATAACTTGGAGCTTCCGGCATATCCAAATGAAACACACCAGTACTAGTCATTTTCTGGCAATCAGCATTACGACCAGACCAGTTGCAAACAGAGCGCTCTCAAAAATAAGACACGTTGTTAAACAAAATCCCATTACTTTGCATTTATTCTCATGTACACTCAAACAGCTCAAAACGATTGTTTGGAAAATAAAAGGTCACTATCCATTGTTGTTCTCACTACAGATCGATGGGTCAGTCCTGTATACAGCGACAGGAAAATTACATAATTTTTATAATCATAATAACAAAAATGAGTCGTATGTCGCTCCAGAGACGCTGCACATATGATTGCATTGGTATTCAATACGTTTTCCTTGTGTATCAGTTATGCATTATATATCCATTATCACATCAACTACACGTCCCTGTATCATCGTGTTAAAAACCTTGTCGTCTCATTACTATTTATTTCCACTTGGTTAGTCACGGTACTGATTACATATTTTAACAATTTGCGTTTATTTTCATCTCACTATTCAATTTTTAAGATCATAGACTTTTCATATCCTAAAACTGTGGAATATGAACATTTCATCATACCATTTTATGCCAAGCAACCAATAGAATCCTAACTTACTGGGTGAACCCGGTTTCCAACCGGTTGGTAACAGTAATTCTCAACAGTAACATTTTTAATTTCAGCGTTATTATTTTTATCCATTACTGTATATTTCTTTACATGCAAACATTAACGTCTTATCCGTGTTGTACCACAAATATTTGTTAACGAACTTTCAAATCGGCCCACAGGCTGTCCTTTCAAACTCTGATGAATCCAGTTTTACAGAATTTTATAGTTGTTTTATCATCAAATAGATATTTCCCTTCTTGTGTTACGTCATGGATTTCATTGAAAAAAATATATAAATCCAAAGTTTAAGAATGTCATGCAAAACGACTCAACAAAAGTTGATGCCGTGAACTTTTTGAGCTAACTTCAGATATTCACCCCCTAACCTGTTTTGCTTAAGCTGAAATTCAGTTCAGTTATTGAAAAATCCCCTTAAGAACCTCGAACTATTTTTCTGAACTGATTTTTACCGTCAGAGGTAACTGCTGAAGTTTATGGTGTGAATAACAATGCCCAATTGACCGATATATGATATTGCAGAGGCCACATTAGTTTTAGCGGATACATCTAGTGAAGGCGCTCAACCACGCATCCGCACCATATCATAAAAGGTTACGCCGTGCTACTCATCTCCTATAACAGTTAGCTAGCTTAGATAAAACGCTTTTAGAGATACCTATTGACTTTGCATATAACTTTGAACCTCTTCACTTCTGATTTGACTGGGATGGCATATCCCTATTTAAAAGGTGCTACTGTCAAATGTATTGTCAAACTCCGAATACTTCTGATACTTTCGAACCCGACATGATTTGGTATACTAGTTCGCAAACTGTGAGTCCTTCCCAAGTCGAAAAATTATATATCATTTTTTTATTTTTAAATATTGTTATATCGTTCTCGAATATTCTTCTCGTCCATCACTGCAGAACGGACGCCTAAGCTGCTTAAGACAAAGACGTTTTTGCCTCCCTCATATCAGCGACTGCCGACTGGTCCGATAATATGGGGACTTGGTCCTGCTACACAGAAGCTGGCTTCAGTAAGCACGGTCTAACAGACCCGCGTTCACAATTCCTCACAGTGGTGAAAACAGTACCATGCGATTTTAACAGGTACTTCACATTTAGTATGTTTGTTGATGATGTTGCGTAACCTTACGAAACTTTTAAAAAAGCTATCTTTAAATGTGAAGATCTAACCGAACGACGAAGGTTTGACCAACTCTTCAACAACATCGAACTGCAACATGGACTAGCAACAGAAACGTTACTATGAGAGGGAGAGGTCGTTGGTCAGCGGGCCTGTGTTAAACAGCTCTTATTGCCTAGGCTTCTCCGACAGGTGCAGGCGGTACTTGTCTAATCTTAAGGTACCGCTGTAGACGAACTGGGTGCATTCGCCGAGTGATTCTTGAAGTCACCGGTAATTCCAGCGCCGACGTGTACCCAGTCAAAGAAAAACATCAAAAGATACAAAATGACGTCACAGACCTCTGTCATACTCTGACACGTTGACCTAACATCCGTCATAACCTTAAACGATCCAAAACGCCTCGAAGGCACTCAAGAAAGCGATCTGCTTCTAGATGACGGGAGACAGATAACCTCGACTGGTGATGATATCATAATAACTACAGAAAATCTCAAACTTGCAGAAAAACCTGAAATTTACCGAGCTCCAGACCATCTGACACGGAAAACGTTCAGGGCAACTTCCCAGCCGACACGCGTTAACGGCAACCGTTGCCGGTGAGCATAGCTGCCTGTTATACATCACTGGTGTGGTAAAGAAAAACCGCTACTTCGTCGACGCTAGCGCAGGAGTCAGCGTTTTACTAGAAGACTTTAACGATCGACTGCACGAATCAGTTTCCAACTTACGGGTGGCAAACGAGAAACTAGTCACCACATATGGTAAGTGGTATGTGTCTTAACGTGAGTTTTCACCAAACCGATTCACTGGATTTTAGTTTTTCTGTCCTAATCAATGGCATGGACCTGCTACAACACTTTAATATAATTATCGACACACACAGGCGGAGGCTAGTAGGCGAAAATATTGATCTGTTTGCTTAACATCATTTTCCGGCTGTAGATTGTCCCCAGTCACAGTAAGGCACATGACTAGTCCATACTACCAATAAATTTTCGATAAGTACTCCGAGGTATGCCTAAAGCGTGATCGATTTGCCTCCTGAAAAGAAAAGTGACAAACAATTTGGATTGTTTGACACGGTGACCAGAAACAATACCCATCAAGTACATTACTGCCGAAACAGTCGTTCGCCTTTCTGTCAAACGATGGGTTGCAAACTTCGGCTGCCCTTCAACTATCTCTACAGACCTTGGATCAAAGCATGTGAACAGGTAGATAACTCTCGAGGGAGAGCGACCTGTCGATGTTGTATTCCAGCCGACACCAGAGACAGTGTTCGCATAAATTCAGACAGTCGATGGACGTAGTCTGATTAATCGAGATCGTCACTCCTCCGTGGTGTGAAAAATTTATCGAGCAGACGCAATGTCGGGCCGTATACAAGTTCAGTGGCGGAACATCCAATATCTGCCTTTGAGCTCGTTCTGATACCTAAGAAAACGAGCGGTAAGGTTTCGTGCTAATTTTTGTTTTCGTGTGCTCGAAGAGCACTTTTAAGTTGGCAATGAAACCGTTCAACTAAGCCATTTGATGCTGGGTGGTAGGCGGTAGTGCATATGCGTTCCATACCAAGCAGCCGGGTCAGTGAGGAGAATAGTCAACTGGGGAAATTTCTCGAATAAAGTGTGCGTCGTCTTAAATTTATTTTCAGATACATTCGGAATGTCATCGCTAGTGTTGATTGTCGGTTGAGTAATTATGAGTGTAGGAGTCGTATTGTGCGATTGTACCGAAGGAAAGTCGACGTAAATAAGATTTCCTTCTCAATACGCTGCTTTTAAGCGATCGATGCTCATGCTATCGTTTGTTCCGTTCTTATCGACTATATAGTACTTAGATTCACGTTGAAGAACTTTGAAAGATCCTTCGTATGCTGATTCGAATGATCGTCGATGTGAGTCTGGACGAACGAAGACGTGTGTACTTTATCGTAAGTCAGGTTGAACGAAAATATCAGTTGATTGAGGTCGAGTGGAAACACGATTAACTGAATGCATTGCATTTGTGAGCCTGATCGTGTAGGAGGTTAGATCCATGCTCATTGAAGAGGATGAAGGATCCACGAATTTTCCTGGAAGTAGAAGGGTCGTTCCATAAACGAGCTGAGCCTCAGTGTATCCAATGTCAGCTTTCACTACCTAGTAAGACGAGTGGAAGAGCGTCGGTCTACTATGAACGTTTGCAGCTGATAGTGAAGCTTTCAGTTGTCAGTGAAAACGTTCTACTAACCCGTTTGCTTGTGGGTGACAGGCGGTCGTTCGGAAGCGAGTGATTCATAAAAGTGTGTGGATGTACCGAAAACGATGGGAAACGGTCGCCCAATATCATAGACTGATTAAAGTTAGACACATACACCATTGAATACTATTTCATTGTTCTTAGGTGTAACCGTTCGCAAGATTTTTTTCCAGTTGTATGTGACCATTACTAGGGGATGTCACACGAGGGCGAGACGGCCTTCCCGTATATCCATGTTTCCAATGATTGTTCAATTTCGGTGGGTTCGTGATATCGACAAAATTCAACAGTTTACACAACCATGTACTAATCAGTATTATTATAGCCATGTACATGAAACCAGGGTAATTCTAACTCCATTGAACAAGGATAGATGTTGTGTGGTGTTTGAATGAACTAATGATACCTTGTACTTGTTGAATGCTCGATTTCGAATTCCAAATACAATACATTCGTTTGTGCTTGTGTCTCACTTCTTAATTCAATTGCGTTATTTCTGGAACTCCTAGTTCATAATACAGTTCAAAACATTATATTGGCGTCGCGATGGAGCCTGCAATGGAAAGGTTAGATATTCATTCAACTTCTGAAGCTTTTGATGATTACTTTGAAAGGTTCGAAATCTGGGTTATGACCAAGGAAGATGATGTGGATGTTAATATTGCGGCACGTTTCCTCACATTCATCGGAAAAGAAGCATACAGCTTATTAAGAATTCTGACTATGCCGGAAAAGCCTATCTTGCTTCTTTATACAACTCTCAAGGAACTGCTGCTAGACTATGTTAATTATACGAATTTCGAATGCAGTGAAGGAGGAAGGTCTCGTAAAATGATTCATGAGGATATAAAAAACACCACTACATTACTACGTCATCCCAACCCAGTGCATACTCAAGGTTATGCAGACAATTCATTGAGTTTGGATGCAGTTCACGAGGATGGGGACAAGTTTGTCCTGTTGCAAGTTCCACTCTTCTAATTCATGTAAATTTCGTAATTATAGGTGCTTCAAATGTGATATTGGACAAGCTCAGTCAGTTTGTAATACTAATGTTAATCTTACTGCAACTAATAT